GCAAAAGTCCTCCCAACCACTTTGATGGCTATCAGGTTCCTCTTGTAATTTTTCATCCACTGACTTTCTTATTCTTGCAATATGGCTCATAATCTTTTAACTCTTCCCTGCTGTATTTTGAGGTTGGAGGCTCCCAGTTACTTGCTCGGTCTCTCCGTTGCCTCTGTGTACAGTAATCCATCGCATGTTTTTACAAGTTCCAGGGTAATCCCTCTGGAACTATTTGTTTGCAAGAGATTCTGACAATAAGAGCCGAAACCGCTGACACGCTGATCTCCATCCTTGGTTCTAGCCTCACCCGACTACCGTCTTTGCTCGGGGGGTGTTGCAATTTCTCCCAAGCTCTCTTGTTGGAAAAGATTGAGTTTATGTTTAATAGAGGTTCCCCAACGCCCAGGGGTCACAGCAGGTACTGGGCCATGGGCCTGTTAAGGAACCCGCCCCAGGAAGGAGCTGCAGCTTTCAAGCATTAACCCCTGAGCTCGCTCTTGTCAGATCAGCATCGGCATTGGATTCTCCGGGAGCTCAGACCCTATTGGGACTGGGCATGTGAGGCGAGTCAGTTGCGACACTCCCTTATGAGACTCTAACCTAGGATGCCTGCGATGACCTGAGGGTGGCAACAGTGTTCATCCAGAATACCATCCACTACCCCTTCCATGGACACAGCAATTGTCTTCCGTGAACACGTCCACTGGTGCCAAAAGGTGTGGAGGCGCCCAAAAGATTTTGTTTAATGATAACCTTCTCCAAACTATGTTACCCCTGTAAACTAATGAAGGGCCACCAGTGTAGAAGGATGAAAGGGGCCTGAATTGCTACTAAGATGTATGCCCTCATTGAAATATTACCAGTCTTATTCCGAGTCACAAGTTGCAGCTGCCCCAATTACTGCTGTGTGAGAACATCGGGTATTGGTAGACCCTGAAGATTGGCCTCTTTGAGGATGGTCTTTCAAGACTTTTGCATTTCTGACGTACTGGATGGCACCCATTTGGGCCTGAAAATCAACCAGTGCCCTTAGGCCCCCACCCAGAAGCTGACTCAATTGCACAAGCTTGAAAACATCTCAAGAGGCCAATTCTTAGTGTTCTACCTAATAGTGATGTTCTTCACAGCAGTAATTGGGGAAGCTGCAAATCTTGCGACCTCTGGAATAATGGCTGATAATTATTTAACAAGGCATACATCTTAGTAGAATTCAGGCCCCTTTCATCCTTCTAACTTGGTGGCCTTTCATTAGTTTTACAGGGGTAATTTAGTTTTGGGGAAGGTTATCATTTAAACCAACCTTTTTGACTGTCCCCAACATTTTTGGCACCAGGGACTGGTATCATGGAAGACAATTTTTCCATAGAAGGGGATGGTTTCTGGATGAAACTGTTCCACCTCAGTTCATCAGGCATTAGTTACAGTCTCATAAGGAGTGCGCAATCTGGATCCCTCACATGCGCAGTTCCCAATAGGGTCCGAGCTCTGATGAGAATCTAATGCAGATGTTTATCTGACAGGAGGCAGAGCTCAGGCGGTAATGCTCCAAAGCCTGCAGCTCACCTCCTGCTGTTTGGTTGGGTTCCTAACAGGCCATGGACCAGTACCTGTCTTGTGACCCTGGGGGTTGGGGATCCCTGATTTAAACTATAAACACAAGTTTTCCCAAAGAGTGCTTGGGAGAAATTGCACAGGAATGAGCAAAGACAGCCAGCCTGTGAGGCTAGAACCAAGATGGAGTCAGCCATGTCAGCTTTCTCTTATTGTCACAATTTTGCAAAGGTAGTTTCTGAGGGACTACACTGGACACTTGTTAAAAGCATCAGACAGATCTTATTGTATATACTACAGTAGGCAAGAGAGACCAACAGAGAACTGAGCTCAACCTCAAATACAGCAGGAAGAGTTGAAGATTATAGCCAATTGGCAAGATAAGAAAGTCAGTGGATGGAAAATTACAAAGAGGAACTTGATTAGCTATCAAAGGTGGTTGGGAGGACTCTTGCTAAACTAGACTCAACAGTATTCTTTTCTAAAACTGGACTTGGCAAGCAAAGAACTAATAGAGAAAAGGGCTCAGAGGAAACTACTAAGGTTTGGTCAAAGATGGAGTCCTTGTCAACTCTACATTGAAGCTTCTGCAAATAAACGAAGACCAATCAAATGGGAAAAAAAGCAAAGGCTATTTATTCTGAGCGTGCTATAGCAGGGGATCAGCCACTATTACTTGTGTTTTGGCAGAGACTTGAAGGCAGTCAGAAGGGTGGGAAAGCTTTTTAAAAAGAAAGGCTTCAGGTATGCTTGGACTGGACGCTGTCAGCATGATGAAGCTGTAGATAGATGGAGAAAATAAAAATATTTTACCCCAGAATATATTTCTTTGGCATATTTTAAGATGGCTGTCAGAGAGCCAGCAAACAGAAGTAACTCTGCAAAACTGTCTTTTGTAGGGGAAATTTATACCTGCAGAAAATCTGCATTAATCCAGCCTTCCCTTGTCAGGATTGAGAAATAAAAATAAGCCCTAGGCCCTACAACCAACTGAACCGACCCCCTCTTGGCTGACAGGACCGCAGAGAAACCTTGAAAGCTGTTTCTGGCTGTGACAGAATAGGAGGTCGGACATGCCCCCTTAAAATCCCTCCCTCACTAACTGCCATTATGAGGCAGGAGAACAGCAGAGAGAATTGGAAGTTCAGTAAAAGACACAATGAGTAAAGGCACAAACAGAAGCAAGGTGATGGGGCAGAAGAGCAAGAAGCAAGAAAAAAGGCAGAAGTTGAGCAGCCAAAACAAAAAGTAAGATTAAAAAAAAGCAAGCAAGGCCGGGTGCGGTGGCTTACTCCTGTAATCCCAGTATTTTGGGAGGCCAAGGCAGGCACATTGCCTGAGGTCAAGAGTTTGAGATCAGTCTTGCCAACTTGTCGAAACCCTGTCTCTACTAAAAATACAAAAAATTAGCTGGGCGTGGTGGTGCACCCCTGTACTCCAGGCTACTCAGGAGGCTGAGATAGAAGCATCGCTTCAACCCGGTAGGGGGAGGTTGCAGTGAGCTGAGATTGCGCCACTACACTCCAGACTGGGCAACAGAGAGAGCCTCTGTCTCAAAAAAAAAAAAAAGAAAAAAAAGCAAGCAAGGACCCCATTGCTGTCAAGATCCAAACCAGTAAAGGGGCAGCTCCTCAGAGATAGAATGTGCATTTGAGGAAAAAAGTATCCTTAACAT